TACAAGGGGCATTGGGAGACTTGACAGCAAAAAAAGGGGAAAGTATTCAAAGACTTCTCTCCATTAAAGAAAGATTCTCCCTCAAGTAAGGAAAAAATTGCACCTATCTATTAGCCAGTAGAAAACACTTTTTTTGTTTCATTTGATGCTGCATCAGTGATTCATCCTTCCTGCCCTATCTTTTAATTGTTGTTTTTGTATGTATATTTTAGCTTTGGTTTTAATTGTTTTAATGATGTGCTTTTGTTTGGTTTGAATGGTTTTTTAAGATGTGTTTTTATTACGTTTGTTTTTAATCTGTTAGCTGCCTTGGTGGTCCTGATGAGTACAGAAAGGCTGGATATAATTTTTGCAAATAAAAAAAAAGGTGCATGTGTAAACTATTTTTGTTGAACATTCTGAGAACCTTCCTAATAGTAAGAGAAGATAGACAATAGAACCATCTACTGGGGGGGGGGGCTCACCTTCACTAGTGGCTTTCAAGGAGATGCTGGACAGCCTTTTTTCTTTTTTTTGAACACTCATTTGGATTTCCTGTACTGAGCAGAAAATTGGACTAGATAATCTATATACCGTCCCTGCCAACTCTGCAATTCTATGGTTCCATTTGAATTACTTTATATAATAATATCATTTAACCACTCCATATCCCTAAGAGTTTTTTCATTAGGTCTGTAGATCATCAAACAAATACACTGGATGATCCAAATAGTCAAAGCAGATGATGAAATGAAAAGAAAATTGTGGTTACAGTTACAGCCATTATAGAGAAATGAAGGCTGAAAAAAAATAGACTAATTGGACCTTTATTTGAACTGGATCTTCCTAATCTTAGGGATACCATTGCACCACATTGCCTCTGTTGCCTTCTGCATACACAAAGGCTGAGTTCAGTATGAAGTATGAAGTGAGAGGGAGGCGGGGCAAAAAGACCTGGACCATGTTGTGCCAGGGATTCCCAGTTGCACTGCACCGATTGATGCGGGAGCATACCGGGGAGCAGGTGCGAGGGAGCATTTGCACTGTTGGCCCACCCCTGGTGGAGGTACGGCTGTAAGTGGCTTTTTTTCATTCCGGCAAAATGTGCCTATGTGGATAGGTGCATAGATGCAGCAATGCGGTGGCTTTTAGCGTGCACAATTCCGGGAAGCTGGATCAACGCGCCCTCCAGGGTTTGCTACTGCTTTCATCTGGTACTTTTTTAATGCAGTAGGGAATCGTCATAGGATGGGTTGAGTATGGCTGGGGAACGCCTGACAGCTGTGGCTGTGTGAACTGGCCCCTTTAATCTGTTTGTGAAACATGCCTATATCGGGCCAAACTGCCAGTCTGAACTCAGCCAAAGGATGTCGTCTACTGCTGAGTTACAGAACCTCCTCCAATGGAGCACTCACTTCCCTCCACTAAACCAGTACTATCACAGGTTGGATCCAACCACCTTTTTTTGCTCAATTGTGCCCCATTCTTGTCCTTACTACAGCCTCCATCTCTTGTGGCTTTTGTCCTTACAGGTCCCATGATCCTCAGCATGAACTTTTTGGTAGGGCAGATAACTCTGGGTTGGGAAATTCCTAGTGGTTTGGACTGGAGCCTGGTGAGGGTGGGATTTAGGGAGGGGGCTCATCAAAGTATAACACCATAAATTCCACCCTCCAGAGTAACCATATTCTGCAGGGGAACTAATCTCTGTGGTATAAAGATCTCCAGGCCCCACCTGGAGGCTGGCAGCCCAGCTTTTTGGCAACCGTACTGATTAGGGACCTCCTTGCTCCTTTTTGGCCAGTAAAAAAAAATTACAACATGGTGAGTGGCCCAAATAGTGAGTGGCCCAAGATCACCATGAGATGCTTGACTGATTGGGCCTTTATATGGACTGGATCTTCCTAATCATAGGGTGGCCATTGCACCACTTTGCCTTTGTTGCCTTCTGCATATACAAAGGAGGTGCTCTACTACTGAGTTACAGGACTTCCCCCAATGGCACACTCACTTACCTCCACTAAACCAGTGATATCATGGGTTGGATCCAACCAGCTTTTTTTTTTTTGCGCAGTCCTGACACATTCTCCTCCTTATTACAGTCCACACTTCATGTGGCTTTTTGGTAGGGTTGCTAACTCTGGGTTTGGGGTAGAGCCTGGTGAGTGTGGGATTTAGGGAGGGGAAGGACCTAAACAAAGTATCACGCCATAGATTTCATCCTCCAGAGTAACCCTATTCTGAAGGGAGCTGATCTCTGTGATCTTAAGATCTCAAGGCCCCACCTGAAGGCTGGCAGCCCTGCTTTTTGGCAACCGTACTGGTTGGACCTGACTCAGTGTGTGATTAGGGACCTCCTCAACCAGGCATGCTTTCATGACATCCCAATTTGTGGAATTCCTTGCTCCTTTTTGGCCAGAAAAAAATTACAACATGGAATCTGCACAACTAAAAAGTTACGCATAGGAATATCTGCTCCCCCTCCCTCACAAAGGTTTTTCCAACCTAATTATCTGAGTCAGGGGAGATCTTATTAGAGTATCGGTCCTCTGTGGAAACCAAAGCTCCCAGTGAGAATTGAGATGGGAAGTGGAAGGGATTATATTTCCCACCATTCTGTCACTTTGGTAGAGGTGCAGGAAGCTCCATCATGTGCTTCACAACATTCTCTGAAACAACACCTTGAGTCACAGCTCTCAGTGACACAGCTGCAGATCCACATAACCTGCTTTTATGTCCTGAAGCGATACCATTGCTTCCAAACACATTTCTTTGCATTCCTGATTCTCCAGTCATATGTGAGAGGCAGAAAGGAAGCACAACAGTGAAATTCCCAGTCTTTCAATTTTTTAAAAGGTAAGTAACTTATTAAAGCGTTTCAGTTTTCCAGTCCTCAGGTTCCAGAAAGGTGCATGTGGATTATGTTACTTCATGTGTGACAAAAAGTGTGGGTGCAATTGAGAAATTCTACTAGAACTCAGGGGGATGGAACGTAGGTGCAGCAGTTTGGATCTTTAATCCTAACCTCTTGCCCAATTACTGTATTGGGCTCCTTTGAGCATATCTTCATATCAAACTTATTGGCAGGCATTTGAAAAAGTTCAAGTTTTTATGTCATATCCTATAGGTCCTGTCTAGTGTTTCAAATGCACTCATTTGGGTGGAAACTGGCATGGTTACCCTAAAGATTATGGATTGCTGCTATCCTATATTGGTTCAAATTAGTGTCCAAGCCCACCAAGCTTGATATTGAGATACTCTATGACACCTTAATGGATCAAGGAAGTTGAGCTCAAATTGGGTTATTATGGGCTCTCTAAGTAGTTTATTATGCAGCAGGAATATAGTTCTGTTAAACCTTTTCTTAAACAAAGAATCCTGGATATTGAAAGACAGCACAATCTGTCTCAGATTAATTGCTGTCTTCCAGGTATAGAGATATTGAATCAAATATCACTGATGGCATACCTACATAATTTAGATAAAGCTGAGTATAGAAGAGCTTTTACTCTTATGAGAATAAATATGCTCCCTTCAGCGGTTACAGAGGGTATATACAAAAGGCATTCCTATGAAGAATATGTATGGAAATCGAGGGAACATGTTCTTTCTGAATGTAAACTTTACCAGAACTTTTGTTCTGTTCATTTAGTGCCTGTTTGCCTCCAATTCCTGGAGAGAAATATTAAATTTTATTTAGACAAACTTTTAGCCAAGAGGAATCAAGAAATTACTTTAATGGTGGCAACATTTGCTGTGTAGGCCATAAGATATAGTCAACAATTTTTAAATGGGAATGCCTAGTTTAATGTTATGCTTAAAATTTTATAAGGGCTGAATTATATATCCTATCTGTTTTAAAGACTTTGGTGATTATTTGATGGGTCTTTGACCGTATTAAATATTTGACTGATTGAGTGTTATAATGTTTGGCAGCCATTTCCTGGAGCCACATTGCAAAGTCCATTCTCAATATTATTCTACTTGCTGAGGGGAATTTGTTTGTTTTTTCACTCAGTGAAAGAAAGGAAAGGGTATACTCTACCTAGAATGACAGAAATTTGGGAAGGACCTTTCTAAGTGGACACACTCTTGCTTTCTCTGAGGATACTTTTTGAATAGCATTCAACAGATGTCCAGAGGAAGAAAAATTAATCAAATGGTTGTATAGCACAGTATGTAAGAGTGTGGGATATGAAGGAAGCCCCTTCCTCAAATCTTCTCTCACTGTGAAGTCACAGTATAGTATCAGTCTAGCCATTATATCTGAGCCTCACTCCCAATGCCCATCTGCAGTATGTTGAAACATGTCTAATTTAAAAATTGTTGAGAGAACATTTGTTCTTACTTTGAATGTGGTGGTAACGTATTAGGGCATATTATAATACTATTATTAAATTTGCATTCTCAGTAATCTTCATCAACTAAATGATTATGTACTTCATTATTTTATCAACCCCTCCCCAATCCAGTTCTCTGCTGTCTAGAATTCCATAAACTTATTTCAAAGGTCATAGGCCAACAGCCACCATAGTGTGGTGGTTAGTGCTTTGGGCAGGGCTTAAGTCCCCATTATCCCTTGAAGCTCACTTGATACAGAATATGTACATATAGAACTGTCTTATCCTGATAATACTGAGCTTATTATTATTATCTCCTCTCACCAGCAGCAGTTCCCCAGTATCAGGCAGAGTTGGCCCTATCCGAACACCTGAGTTCCTTCAACTGGAGATCCCCAGAATAAACTTGAATACAAAAACTTTGTTTCCCTCCCCTAGCCCTTCAGCCAGTCACTCTCACTCAGCTTAAATCTATTTCATATAGTTGCTTTGAGGATAAAACAGGAATGGGAAGAACTAAATATGTCAAACTGACCTCCTTGGAGAAAAGGCATAATAAAACATATCAGATAAACTGTGCTATATCATTTAAGCTTATTTTATTGGTCATAATGACCAGTATTGTATTTGTTATTAAATATTTGAAATCCTTCTTTTCCATAGACTAGAAATTATGTCAGCATGGTCACTGGTAATAGAACAACCGTAGCCCACTTCATCATCTTGGGCTTCCCAGCTCTGAAGAAACTTCAGCTTCTCCTCTTTTTTGGTGGGTTGGTGGTCTATATTTTGACCCTGTGTGGACACCTCATCATTATCACCATAGTACACATTGACCAACGTCTCCACACTCCAATGTACTTCTTCCTCAGCAACTTCTCCTTCCTAGAGATATGGTACACCTCTAATATTGTTCCCAAGATGCTAGAAGTCTTCCTAGGTAAAGACCAAACTATCACATACACTGGCTGCATTACCCAACTCTATTTTTTTATCACATTTGGTACAGCAGAATGTTTCATTCTGGCAATCATGGCATACGATCGCTACTTAGCCATATGCAACCCTCTGCGCTATCCAACTCTCATGAATAACAAAGTTTGCTTTCATTTGGCGGTGTGTGCATGGGTTGTTGCTTTCATAATTAACATTCCACCACTAATCTCACTATGTCGACTTCCATTTTGTGGGCCCAATGAAATTGATCATTTCTTTTGTGATGTACCCCCTTTATTGAAACTCTCTTGCATTCAACCCCATGAAGCCGAACTGTCCAATTTCATTGTGGCAACCAGTGTCATCGTCAGTTCCTTCCTCCTCATACTGGTATCTTACATTCTCATAATAATCACTGTTTTGAAAATCCCTTCCTCTTCTGGGCGTCAAAAAGCCTTCTCAACTTGTGGGTCCCATCTGGCTGTTGTGACTATTTTCTACAGCACCCTGATGTTCATGTATGTGCGTCCAACATCCGACTTCTCCGTGAACTCTGTGGACTTCAACAAAGTCATATCCATGTTCTACACTGTGATCACCCCCATGCTAAACCCAATCATTTACTGCTTGAGAAACAAGGAGGTCAAAGATGCTCTGCAGAAAGCAGTCTGGGGGAAGTGCATGTTGTCATCAAAATCAAGTGGCGTTTCAGGTGGGATAATGCATTAGAGATGCCAATGATAATACAGCAGAGGTAGAACAAAGTTTGAGTCCAGTGGCACGTTTAAGACCAACAAAGTTTTATTCTGGGTATAAGGATTTGTTTGCATACATATCCTGAAACAGAAGTCACCAACCATTCCACATGGGGTGAGGAGGGTGTTGGCAGGAAGGGCTAATTCCAATCAAGATGCATAAGTAACTGAGAGATAAATATATAGTGTTCAATGAACCCAAGTAAAAACCAGATTCTTTATACAAAAAACGTGACCTGAATGACCACGATGGGTTCCAAAGAGGTCACAATGGGTCCTCCTCTGGCTGGAAAGGCATATATAAATGACAGAGGAGCCATATTGTGAGCCTACTACTATGAAAAAGTCCAACTGCAAATAAATTCCCTTGGTGGTAATTTATCTTTCTTGCTGTGTTGAAGCTACTACCATCCTCTGGGAGAAGCAAGGCTCTCTTCATCTGAAATTGTAGTAACCAGGGGTGGTGTCAGGTTTTTTTGCACACTAGGCGAGGCTACTTTTTCCCACCCCCACCCCCCATGGGCCCACCAATTTTTAAGCCTAAATTTATTTTAGGAAGAATGAAAAACACAACATTTGAAATGGCTATTTTTTTTTTTTAATTGTGAGAAGAAGTAGCTTGGCTCTTCTGAAGTGGATTCTGAACAATATTCAGAAAAAGTGCAGATTGATGATATTTTCTTTTTACTCATATGCAAATGACTTCTTTGGATTATGGCCCACATCTATTTACTGACTATGTTTAATAGTAATCACAGATGTGGTGGCTTTGCAATGTAACAGAGAGATACTGGAGATGGATCCACGAGATGATGCAAGAGATATTGAGAACTAAAATACAATTTTTGCCAGAAATATCACTACTAAACATATTTCCAAGGGATTTTGATAAAGGTGATAGATATTTGATAGTACACCTATCTACGGCAGCAATAATATTATATGCAAAATATTGGAAACAAATGGAAGCACCAAAGAAGCAAGAATATGTGAATAAAATGTTGGAGACGGCTGAAAATGACAAATTGTCATCGTTGATGAGAGGGACAACAGACCCAACATTTCAAAAGACGTGGAAAAACTGTATGACTGGTACAACATAAATGCATAGTTTAAAGTAATGTAAATTTTGGTATTATTAATCTCATTTAGTTAATTAGAAACTATGGTAAAAAGATAAGAGTGTAAAGAAACTTAAGCAAACCCATAGAAAGTGATTTAAGAAAATTGTTAAATATGGTAATAGAGTTATACTGATCTCTTTGTAAGTGTTATGTTTGTAAGTGGATGTTTGTTATATGTTGTATGTATGTTGGTTTGTGTATAATATGAAAAGTAATAAAAGTGTACCTAACGGGTACTTAAAAAATAGTAATCACAGATCTGGAGCACAATATGAGTCAGATTAAGAATCCACAGCACAATATAATAAATATTGACCTTCTAAGCAGCAGCCACCTCCCACTCCAGGTATTTTAAATGAGTACCATTTTAAGCAGAGTTTGGTAGTGGTTAGTGTCTCAAGAGTAGAATTTGGGTTCAAATATTTACTCTAGCATGAAATTCACTGTGTGCCTTTGGGCTAGTGACATTCTCTCAGCCTAACTACCTCACCAGGTTGCTGTTGTGAAGATAAAATAAAGGAAGGGAGAATGATGTTATAAGCCATTTTGGGTCCCCATTTGGGAGAAAAGTAGGGCATAAGAATCTAAAATAAATTAACTAGCATTCACAACAGGTCATGGCCACCTGTCTTATATCTTGCTGATCTATGCTCTCTGCTTCTCAAGTAGAAAATAGCAACAATTATGTTTTCACCAGGAGACAACCAAAGCTGTTATCACTAAACTGAGCTCAGGAGGACTGGTATTCAGGTGTCTTCCTGACCTTTGAGAAGTGGGGTGCCAGGCTCAGAACCCCTGCACACAGGAGAGAAGCAAGCTGACTCAAGCAAGGTCTGCACCCTTTGAACACCTGAAACCCCAGCCCTAAGCCCAACTGCCTGCACTCAACCCTCTCGCTTCCCTCCTTAGAGATTTAAAGGGCCCTCCAGCTGATCCATGCCCTACTGAATCTGTGGGGGTCCCCTTAAATCCTGAAGAGATAAGGGACAGGGGTGGCTCCGCAGCTGCCAACAGCACACCTGAACTCCGAACAGCTCTTCGACAGGTAGCTGCTTAGAGATCCAATTCCTGTGCTCAGTGCAAAAAACCTTCTAGCACCTGAGGGGCCGAGTATGCAGAAGGACTTAAAGGGACCCTTCCAGTACCTCAGTGGAAAGAAGCCCTTCATGAGGGGGCTATTACAATTCAAATGAAGACTTCCAGGTCCTGGGGGAGGGGGGCCTCATGCTTGGAGATCAGATGTGAGGGGCACCAGTGCTGATGGCCATTAGGATTCAAAGGAAGCCTTTCCAGAGCCTGGGGGAATGGGGAAACCCCTCACACCTTATCTCTCAGCAGCAAAGCAGCTTGGAGATCAATCCTGAGGGGTGCTGCGGGCCAGGAGGATTTAAAGGCAGCCTTCAAGGTCCTTGCACAAAATCTCCAGCAGCAGAGGCACTTGGAAATCAATGGTATGGGGCGAGGCTGGACAGGAGAAAGGGACGCTTCCTGTGCCCCTGCTGATTTCAGAGATCAAGTGCGAGGGGCACAGTAGGCCATTAGGAGTTAAAGGGAGCCTTCCAGGGCATGGGGGGGAACCCTCACACCTGATCATTAGGAGTTCAAGGGAGATAGCGTTGCTGGCCATTAGGAGTTAAAGGGAGCCATGGGCTGAGGCCAGGAGGAGGGCTCATCCAAAGTTTGCATTCCACACTTTTTGTGGTTGTTCTGCTGCACCAGGCACCACTTTTCCAGATCCTCCCCCCTCCCCAGAGCTGGGAATGGCAGGGAAGAGCCCGTTCTTCTGTGACCAGATCTCGGCCAGGGCCAACGGATCACACCTCCCTCCCTCTCTCTCTCTTTCAGCTGCCTAACTCTGCCTTATGGAAGAACCGGCCCTGGTAGTAATGCCAAAAAGGCCTTCAAAGTTATCTGTTTAATTTTTAAGATATAATATCATCAGAGAGGAACAATGATATTCTTCCAAGCCTTAACATATAATGATGCTAATCAAAAGAACAGATTCTTCATCAAGTTTAATTGTTTTGTAGTAGACATGAGCAAACAAGAAGGGGGGGAAATTCAAAGCATCCCCCTCCCCTCTTAACTTACAATTTGCCAACTTTTGAATTTGTGGTCATTGTTCATTGTATTTTAAATACAGTAAAACATTCATTCATTCATTCATTCATTCATTCATTCATTTAACTTTTATCCCGCCCTCACGCCAAGGCTTACATAAAACCAGTAAAACCAGTATACATTCCAATACAAAACATAATTTCATTTTGATATAAGTACAATTTAAAACCATTTGTATTTCATTGGTGGCACAGGATGACAAAGTGCATTCAAAGCATCTTTCATGATGCAGCCACTTTTAGATTAATTCAACTGGCCAAATGGCACAGGTCCAGACAATATGGTGCTGATCCTACTGGAATGCCTGTTGGAAAAACTCTGTTTTCATGGCCCTGTGGAACTGCTGAAGGTCCCACAGAGTCCTGATCTCACCAGGGAGCTCATTCCAGTGTGCCAGTGCTGCCAGGGAGAATGCCCTGGTCCCGGTCAAAGTCAACCTGACATCCTTAGGAACAGGGAGGGCCAGGCGGTTTTGTGTTCCTAATCGCAGTGCTCTCTAGGGAGCATGTGGGGAAAGGCAGTTCCTCAGCTAGACAGGCCCCTGATCATATACAGCTTTAAATGTCAAAACCAGCTGCTTGAAGTGAATCCGGAATGCTATTGGCAGCCAGTACAGAGACTTTAGCACAGGCTGGAAGTGCTCCCACATAAGAAGGCCCAGCAACAGACTGGCCACTGCATTCTTAAACACTCCTGTTTTCCAACAGGAATAATGTCTTAATTTGTAGAACTTTCCAGAAGAATTCAAGTCCAATTCCCATCCTTCATGGACTGGGAGTTGCCTTTGCCTACTCAGCAGAGTTGAGCTAAGTGTGACATACAAATACAATGAAGGGCAGAAAATTGGAAACCACTTTCTCCCCATTGGGGAGAAAAGTGGTGTGTAAATGAAGTAACTTAAATAAAATGAAATACATTGTATGGTGGTTAAGTCTGAGAGATTGTGATGAGTCTAAAGTCACTCAGCAGGCTTTAATGGACAGAGTGAGGATCCAAACCAGGCTGTCTCAGGTTCTCATCTGATACTCTATACTACTATAGTACAATGACCCTGAAAAAGAAAGTAAGAAGCAACATCTACAAGACAGCTGTGGTTTCATGAAGTTTTAAAATAGGCAGGTGTTCCATGCAAAACTGCATAGAGAAATACATCTTCATTATTAGACTATTTAACAGTCACAAGCAAACTGTTGCTTAGAATGGTTTTATTGAAATAATAATAAAAATATTCACAATTTTTGTGAACAAAAATACTACAGCAAGCAGGCATGGACTTAAGCAAGCAACAACTTGATGGGTTGGATCCAGATATTTGGATTTCTTGAACTGAGTGGAAAATTAACCCATGAACTCCCTGACTCAATGACACAAGCAGCATTTTTTTTTTAAAAGCCTGCTTTTCTTTGCAATCCATCCCAACGGATCCCAACAGTCTCTTCCAACTCTGCAGTTCTGTGATTTCATTTGAATTACTTTATATAATAATATTATCTTTTAACAATTCCATGCCACTGAGAGGGTGCTTTTCTAAAAAATTAGGTCCATAGGTCATCAAACAAATAAATGAGATAATGTATATGGTCAAAGCAGATGATGTGATGAAAAGAAAATTGTGGTGACAGTTACGGCCACTGCAGAGGAATGAAGGCTGAACAAATAGTGAGTGGCCCAAGATCACCAAGAGATGCAAGACTGATTGGACCTTTATATGGACTGGATCTTCCTAATC